GGACTTAGTTGATGCCTCCCTTAGATGACTCTTTGTTTGAATACTGCCCTATGCCTAGGGACCCAGCATTGCACACATGCACCATGGATACTCCTCCTCTCTCTCCTGGCCCATCAGTTATTACAAGTGCAGATCTTTGCCTCTCAAATTAAAATCTGTCACTCAGAGCGAACTTACAGGACATGTTCGACCTGACACAAAGGTTTTAACCTTAATAGAAGTAGAAGCCACATATTTCCCTGGGGAGCAGTGGGTGGATTTCAATCACCAAGATTTGGGTCAGCAGCTGTGTTCTTAGATGTCAAGCCACCAGGCCTCCTTCCTTCAGGACTGGGGTGGCTCTACTTCCCCATGTGAGGCAATGTACAATTCCAACTCCCACCAATGACCATGGAGGGCTCTGAGTCAATGGCAGCCAGCACAGGGGCCCCTACTGGTAATAAGGTTTGCGTGGGCTGTTGGCTGAGTCCTTGTCCTCCCAGACCTGCAGTTCTGGGGCAAGGATCTGTGGGAGACTAGAATTATGAGGTGTAGCTGGACCCGAGAGTAACTGGGAGAGTGCAGGTGGGATGGAGGATGCCCTGACACCTCATCATGTTGCCTCAATGGAGCTATGGCTGATTAGTGTCTAATGATCAGAATCTGGTTAGCTTTTGATGTCAGTTGGAGAGTGATTGCTATTGATGTCTACTCTCTGAATTATGGCTGCTAAAGACAACTTTGTTTTCTTCTTGTTCAAAGTCATCTGACACCATAAGCACTGAATGCTTGTGCCCTATAGGTTTCTCAGTGGCAGAGATATTTTAGAAAGAATTTGCCAGGGATTTCTTTGGAGAATCATCTGAGTGTATTTGAACTGCTACCCTTCTGATTTTTGGCTGAGCACGTAACCATTTCTACTACCTAGAGACTCCAAGGAATATGCACTAGATGCAAATCCATTTGGATAGAGATGATTCTATTTTTCACTTGCCAAACTGATAGGAAGTGAAATACTGAATGTTCATTTCCTGTGTTGATTACTAACTCATTCGTTCAGACAATGATCAATAGAGTTGATGGCAGGGTTGAAAAGGGTTAGTAGTGTGTTTGTGGGCCATTCAAGGCATCAGCAGCTACTTTCTTGGCTTATGCAGGACCCTGTTCCTTGAGCACTAGGAGGAATCCCAAGGGGACCATGTGACAGACTGCCCCCAGGGTACCACAGTGCTTAGCTTCTTGCAAGAAACACCATTGCAACCAGCGTGGATGAACCCACAACCTGCATGAGGTGCTTCCTAGAAACTTGCTCTCCATCATGCCTGATGGGATTCCTGGAGCCATTAGTCAAATAAGGTGCCCTAATATGGCTTTCTTTTGTAACATTATTTTATTTGTGGTTGTTGAAAACACAGAGCAAAACACACATTAATTCAGCAGCTTCTCTGAACACAAGTCAGTCAGCCTGATGCATGATACACTTTAAGTGAAGAGCCCATCCTAAACCATTTCTGAATATGATCCTCTCCCATTCACATGAACTCACTTTCCCTCAACTTTCCTGTCAAAAAATCCCCAGCACTGCTCTTCTGAGTTTGATTCCACAGAGATTCATCAAAGGAAACTGCGCTCAAGGCAACGTGCTTGTCTAATTAACTTGAACTCTTGCGAGCTTGTTTTTCCACCGTGTTTTCACACAGTGGCCAGGTCTCAGATGTGGAGCCCCAGGGCAAGATGGGGTCCAGGTGTTCTTTCCCTCAGAAGTGACCATTTGGGACTGGACAGAGGGAGTGAGAGAACGAGCAGGACACAGCACCTGGGGGCACAGTGGCACTGAGG